CCCCACACACACACACACACACACACACACACACACACACACACACACACACACACACACACACAACGTAATAGTCCATATTTCCGTTATTGGCATTTATGTCAAATAAAATCTTTTTGTAATGTGTCTCACATTGGGCAACATTGATCTACAGTGCAATGATGACATCCATTTACAAAAATATGCAAGGATATTGGCTAGAATATGTGCTATTATAGTTCTTTAAATGAATTATTCATGAGTATTGATTCTTCCACCAGGGAAAAAAAATAGAACTGGAAGTGATCTTTTCGAAGGTCAAGTTGTGGACGTCATAAAAGCTTTATTTCAACTCGACAGGTGTTCGTCACTGTCGGTCAAGTTGAAAAATAAGCCAACTCCCACTTGAAGCTGAACTAAAGTGAATGGTGTTAAGTCAGGCGAGACTCATGTCGTAGATTTTGCCACATTGTCCTTGGTCGTGCAAGTGTAAAAAGAAGTTCGCCATTGTTGAGGGGCATGACGAAGGGGCATCTGGCTGGGATCGACGGCGATTAGGTTTGTAAAAATTACATCCGACTCCCCCACCCCCAAGCACAGCCTTTTCTTTTAGGGGGCTTTAAAAAAAACTGTCAATCATCCCAGGCTTTCAATGTCCTTTGCAACCCACTGATGAACGGCATCGGTTTATTTCCCAAAAATGCCTCTCTCATAAAAGACTAATTGATACATATCTCGATACAGGTGGTGCGACAAGATTCACGGATGGTTGTCTTCATTTAAAAACCTTTGGCCTTTCACTTGTTTAGCGCTTTCTTCAAGGTACTCGCAGGGCTTAAGCACCAGCTCCTCATTCACCTACTGAAGCATTTTATCTTGTTAAATTGAGTTTTATATCAGTCTAACTAACATTGTATGCCACATCATTGTGTCAAAATGTTGCCCCCTCGGCATCCATTGTAGCCTGGCCATGCTGGAAGGGCGATTCACCCATCTGCGGCCCCATCTCAAGGTTTCTCATTTTTCCCCACGATTTTTTGTTTGTTTTGTTTTTCCTTGCCCTTCTGGGGTTTAAGATCAGGGAGTGTTGTTAATATTTACCAACTGTGGGCATGTAAAGTTCTTTTAGACTTTTTGTTATGAAGGGCTATATTGTATAAATGAATTTGACTTGATTTGATGACGCAGCACGAGGAGCAATCGGGGTGGGTGCCTGAGCCAACGATTCGCTTTGGTACGGTTAAATCAGTAACCAGAAATTGGGAAAAAATATTTTGTGTGTGTGTGTGTGTGTGTGTGTGTGTGTGTGTGTGTGTGTGTGTGTGTGTGTGTGTGTGTGTCTGTCGGGAGAGGGGGTACAACACACGTCTATATATATATATACACACACACACACACACACAAGTGACTTCACTGCTTGGCATTTGGCTGGTTTCATCTTAGGTGCCTTTGTTTATCTTGATACCACCCTCAATGTGGGACAAATCCCCTTTCAGTCCCCCCGAGGAGTCACCCCACAGTCATCCAAGAGGTGATGACCATGGCGATTACGGGAAACAACGGCTCCAATTTTTTTTTTTTTCGATTTTTTGTTTGTTTTGTTTTTCCTTGCCCTTCTGGGGTTTAAGATCAGGGAGTGTTGTTAATATTTACCAACTGTGGGCATGTAAAGTTCTTTTAGACTTTTTGTTATGAAGGGCTATATTGTATAAATGAATTTGACTTGATTTGATGACGCAGCACGAGGAGCAATCGGGGTGGGTGGTGATGG